TTGTGGGGAAGGCGGGAGGCGAAAAGGGAGTCACTTGACACTCCACGGATGAATCGTAGTTTACCGTGCAGCAGTTGAGTTCCGCTAGGGTTTATGCGGACTTCATGCTTGTGCGAAACTTTCCAAACCGAAAAAAGATTGAATCCACACCCGGGCACAAACAAAACTTCTGGCACAGTAATGTCTATGTCTTCCTGTTTCCCGTCGGCTCCGATTTGGTGGAACCGAAGGTCTAAGCTTCCTACAGCTGCAACCTTGATGAGAGCCGAGTCTCCAATTTGAATAAATTGTTCATCCTGGCCCAAGTGGCGAATGTCGCACATGTGATCTATCTGGTTCGAAATCATCGCGCTCGCTCCAGAATCGGCCTGCCACTGCTCGCTACCCTTCGGATTCGGCATGTACGGTTGGCATAGAAAAGCTTTGTCTACTGTGGGACGCTTGGTGACACGAGCTACAATTAGCATTCCAGATACATCAGAGGCAGCAGGCACAATCTTATCCGGCTCAGCAGTCGCGATCACAGCAGGCATAGAAGGCACCCTCACATCATGGACAGCATGCATTATCCCATCAGACTCAGTACTCACAACCACGTCAGGCACAGCGGGCACAATCGCATCAGTCTCATGAAAATCGGTCTCCTTCTCATAATTCTCGAACATCGCAGACAGACTCGGAGAAGCAACCCTGTGCAAATCTTGCTCAGAAAAACAGTGATTCCTATCGTGACTCGCAAGCATTTCAGGGTCAACACCGGGTACAGCAGGTACGAAAACGTCAGACGCCTTAAAACCAAATGCAGACTCAAGAAAAGAATCAAACTTGCCTCGAGGGCACACACTTCGTGCCATGAAGAGACGAAGAGGGGCGTCGCCAGCAGGAGGTAGAACGTCGCCTGGATCTGGAGAGGGAGAGGAGGAGGAAGAGGCCGCCTGAGGCACGCCGTGGTACTGCTGCTCCTGCTGCTGCTCAAAACTCGCCTGCTGCTGCGGGAAGGGCGCCGGCTGCTCCGAGACGTAGAAGGCCTCGTTGTAGACTCTCGGCTGATACGCGTCAGGACCTGCAGCAGAAGGGCAGTATGTTACGTTGGCCTCCTGCTGCTGGTGCGGCCCGCCGTCTTCGGAAAAATAGCCGAAGCCAAATCCCCCGCCGGCGTTGCCGTAGGAACCGCCGCTGTGGTTCCCCCCGTGAGCCGCGAGCCCATACCCGTATCCCGCCTCGGAAGGTGATGGGGCCCAGCTTGGCGTGGGTGCCGGCGCCGACGTTTGCTGCCATCCCGAGCTGCTTTCGCCACCGAACGAATCTCCGCCCCCGATGGCCAGGTGAGCCGGAAAAAAGGGCCGCGGGACGCTGGCAAGCTGCCCTGCAGGTACGTTGGCCGGCGGGAAATTGCCCCCGCGGCCGCCGCCTTGCCCACGGCTTTCGTAGGGGCGAGGCCCGTAGCCGCCGTAGCCCCGTCCCCCATCGTTGCGCCCCTGCATCTGCCCCCCAGCTCCGGGTCCTGGCCCACGCGGCGGCCCCTGAGGCGCATGAGGGTGGCCCTGACTCCAGCCCGCACCGTGTTGGAATTGGTACGACTGCTGTACTGATGGACCACCAACCCGCCCCAGGTTCTGCGATCCGCCTCGTGGATGAGCGGCCGCCTCGGCGTCCCTCCTGCCGCTCAAGTACGCGCTGATCTCGTTGTAATTCGCCAGGAACTCGCTGCGCAACTTGTGACAGTCAGCGGTCGCGTGCGAGGTGTTGGGCCCGTGGTACTGGCAGATGTACGGTCCCAGCTGCTGCTGCTGCTGCTGCTGCTGCTGCCGCTGCTGCTGCTGCGGTGGCTGCATCGACGCCTGTGGCTGCTGCTGCTGCTGCTGCTGCTGCGGTCCGCCGTGACCCATGCCGACAATGGCTGGTCTCCTCTGCCCGCCGCCCCGGCCCATGCCGGCCGCGACGAGGGCGTGCCTCGTCTCCTCTCCTCTCTCTCCAGACCTCCGCTCGTACCTCTGCTCGTTCTCAGCCGTCCTCAACGCCTCCTGCATTTGTGCACTCGACAACATGGGGTGAAAAAGGACACGCTCTTTAATTTTCTCAAATTCTGGCAAAAAACCCCGAGCGATGTGCTTGCACATGGACACTTCAGCACGATTATCACCGTATGACACCAGTCTCATCCAAAGCGCCTTAGCTCTACCAAAGTAGTCCATCAAACTTTCTCCATTCCTCTGACACAGCACATTCCACTGATCATCAAACGTCTGTCTTTCCTCGTTTTTACTGCGTCGGTAGTAGTCCAAGAAAATTTTGTACCCGGCTTGCGGACTCTCCGCTGCGAGCAATTGCCCTTGAATAGATTGTGCCGTGATCTTCGACAGCATGAAAATCCATACCTTCCTAGACTGCTTTACTCTCTCCTCACCAAACGAACGTTTCATCCAATCCACATTCACTTGAGCTGCAGCTACAGGAATCTCTGGGCCTCTCATTGCGTCAACCACTTCCTCGTTCTCCATCCACGCTTCAAACGCACTCGTGAAAATCCGCAACGCAACCTCCATCGATCGATTTTTGAGGAAATCATCACTCCAAACAGGGACCTCGACTTTGTCCCGCTGTTTCAACTCTACTGTCTGGGCGCTAGACGTGCCTGAATGGGCACGATGCCCCTGGTCCTGGGAGTTTGCCGTGAAAGCATGCTTGAGAAGGTCGACCAGCTGACGCATCGAGTCTTGCTGATCTCCCCCCGCCGCCGCTCTCCCTCCCAGATTGTCTTGTTCTTCTGCATCGGCGGTGAACGAATAGTTGGTTCCTCCATCGCCGGTGCCTTCTCCCGGGGAAGGATCACCATGACCTTGTCCCCCCGGAGGCTGTCGTCCGTCTCCATCCGGCATCTTGCGCGCGTAGACACAGCGGCCACTCTCTTGATCGAAACGCTAGCGTGTTGAGTAGCTTTGTGCGTGGGTGCCTCGGCGCGGGGTCCCGTAGTGGGAAACAAAAGGTGCCAGCAGCTGGGTACTGCCAACGGTCAAAATGTAGAAACTATCCGCGGGCGTGAAAGCCCTTCTACGTGGTGGAGCGTGGAAGCTCGTGTATAATATAGTTGTGGCGTGGAAGCCGGGTGGCGTGGTGGCCCTGATGTAAAGGTATATTTAGGGACGTGGGAGTCCTGAAGGCGTGGAAGCCGGGTTGGCGTGATAGCCGGAGTATGGGCGTGGAAGCCGGGGTTGGCGTGAGAGCCGGAAAAAGGACTTGATTATACACAGAAAAAGGAAGTGAGGAACCACAAGCCACGCACACAAATTCCGTTGTAGACACCCATACCCTCAAACCTGCAATATGTGATAAAGTTGGTACCACCAAATCTAATCCATAGCAACCATTGAACCCCCAAACTCCCCGCTCCATCTGCTCGGGAAATTCTTGCTCGCAATAATCTGTTGATGCTGTGAGTACATCCAACAGCCGCTGTGGGTGTACGCGCATGTTCATCTCAGATGCATAGTGGGTGACAATGTGCCACAGTGGGTGACAATGTGCTCCTCGCGCTGTCGATCCACATGGCGTTGTGGCCATTGAGCGCGGCGTTTTTTGTTCTGGTCCATGGTGCATGATGTGCGGCTGCTTGCTGGGGTGTGTCAGTTTGTTTCCACAAATCGGTGCGAAAAACGACTGTACGAGTACACTGATGCTACAAGCAGTATGCTTACAGCAGCGTATGCACACAGAAGCTCACGGTTTTTTAGATTAAACGGTTTTGCATCGCCCTGGTGTGTACTTGTACACAGAACAAACCGGTCCAAGCTCTGCTAGCATTCAACCGGGACATGCAGCAGCAATGGCACAATTCCTGTTTCGAGAGTCTACACACGAATTGTTAGATATACAGCAAAGCACTTGTTCAGTTCACAAACAGCAGTAGTTGCTGCAATGCCTGGCTGGTACTGCTGGTGTTGCTGATCACTGATGTCCATTCCCCGCGCACAGCGGCGTGTTGGGGATGTCATCACAATGCCGTTCGTTTGGCTGTTTGCGTACCAACGACGGCACGGTCGGTGTATGGGAGGTAAACCCGTTCCTGCAAAGGGCAGGTCGCAAAGCAAAAGGGTCCTCTATGAATATCGCAGACAACTCTTGTTTCCAAGGCACACACATTGGTACTGCTTGTAGAACGTTGGTTGTCTTGTATAACTGAGTACTCAAAAATAGCCGTAGATCCACGCGCTCTGCTGTGTAGCCTACCGGTACAGCTGGGGTGACACATACTCTCCAAAACGGCACAAGCAGCAGGACATTCGCGGACAAGTCGCTCAGAGATTAACCAGAGGCATTCTCTACTGGTGGGTGCTGTATGTACGTGTCGGCAGCTTTGCACGGCCTTGACGTGAACCGTTTACGACCACCATTATACCTCTCGACCACCCCCGCCCCCGCCGCTTACCCACCCAAACTCGCTCATCCCATCCCCAAACCTCGAGGCCTTGAGATGACTGATTATTTCTCCTAGTCAAGCAGCGCATGACGTATCTACACGAACGAAAGCACACACCGACACGCGACACACCTGCTCTCGTCTGCCCCCCCCCCCCCCCCCCCCCCCCCCCCCCCCCCCCGGGGGGCCCCCCCCCCCCCCCCCCAAACCCCAAAAAAATTTTTTTTTCCCCCCCCCCCAAAAAAAAACCCCCCCGGGAGGGCGGGAAGGGGGGGGGGCCCCCGCAAAAGGGGGGTTCTTTTTTTTCTTTTTTTTTGGGGGGGGGGGGAAACCCAGGGGGGGGGGGGGGGAAAGGGTGGAAAGGCGGGAGACACCCAAAAAATTTTTGGGGGGTTTTTTTCTTTTCCTTTTCATAAAAAAAA